ATGTCAAGTTGTTGATTACGAGACTTTTGTTATTATTCTGTATAGTTAAAACTTATAAAATAAAGATATAATAAAGTCCTTCTAGTTTGGATTGATACAGAATATAATACACAGGGTGGTCAAGTTAAACAATGAGAATCGACCAGTACACTTCAAGAAAGTATTTTGAGAAATCAATTCTTGCACTGCTGATACACTAACCAGATTACATCAGGTAACAGCACCATCGAACACTAAAAACCTAAATATTTCGAAGTCGGCTCACTTTAGAAGACTTCCACGCATGCTTCTTCATTTTCTATAATTGTTCAAACAGTAAAAAACTACACTGAGATGGAGTTGTGGCCATTCTGAACCAGTTAACTAGGTTTTTTTCAGTTCACATGCATAGTTGTTGTACGAAGGCCTGGAAGGGACATGTGAAATGAAAAAAAATTAACTCTTCAAAATTCTGAGTTTTAACGCAGAATTTTAATATTCCGACTTATATTTCGGAATCTCACATCCAAAATTCTGAGTTATAACTCAGAATTTCAAAATCCGTGTTATAGCTCGAAATTTTACATCAAAGTTCCGACTGATTGCTCGGAATTTTACATCAAAATTCCGACTTATATCTCGGAATTTTGAAATTCTGAGTTATAACTCAGAATATTGGATGTGAAATCCCGAGTTATTACTCGGAATTTTGAAATTCTGAGTTATAACTTGGAATTTTGAATGTAGAATTCCGAGATATATGTCGGAATTTCGAAATTCCGAGTTATAACTCAGAATTTAGAAGAGTTTTTTTTATGTTATGTGTCCCTTCCAGGGTTTCGTATTGTTGCATGTAAGTCTTACCAATTTTTTGTGTTCACGTTTTTGTACTATTATTATTCATCGTATTGTAATTTGTGCTCACTGTATTTTATCCACCCTGCTCAAGGCATCAGCTGTGAGGGTGGCGAAAACCTATAAATGAATAAATAAATAAGAAGTAGTCACAGTGAAAAACTGTTTATGTTCGAGTTTCACATCCCAATCATTTTCTGGACACCAATTATTCTTGAAGTGAAACGTTTGAAAATGGTCATCAATTCTGAAAAATTTCATTTTTATTCCTCACATTCCCCACCCTGTATCTCGGAACGAAGCAATTCCACAATGAGTTGAGTTACTTGAAATCGGCTCATTTTGACCTCAAAGATATTTACTAAGATTCCTCAGACCATTAAAAGACACCGTGAATTCAAGGTGAGTCCTTACTATTGGAGCTTAGGCTAAGGGCGAATTGTTTAAATCAAAAAGTAAATGACTATAGGGCTGACTATGCCTTGATCAAATATTGCTGTAGTAAAAGATAGGGGGTAGGTATACAGGGTGTTTCATAATTGAATGTCAATATTCGAGGAGGCGATTCTTGGGCCCATTCTAAGAAGAAAGTTTCATATGAACATATGACCTAAACATCCCAACTTTTGAGATACAGGGTGGTAAAATTCTCGAAAATTAATATAGCCTACTACAATGAGAAGTGATAATTCCAAAATACCAAATATGAATACGAAGTTCATAAACTATGAATTGTATTTCTGAAATTTGATCTAAGAAATAAAATCTAGTTCTCTGCATTGTGATATTGTCATATTAACGATATTGCTATAATCATGTAGTAAAAAGCTTGTTATATTTTTAAGCGAAAACCGTGCATCAGATTGAAAAAATTGTAGTGATCAAATTTGCTTAGAAATGTTTGGGAATTTCAGGAATGATTTCAATTTGGAGATTAATCAGTGGCGTACCATTAATGTCTGCCAAAATAGGTATGTGAAATTCCATACGAACGCCACTGGTGGCAACAACAAAAAATGTGGTACGCTTACTGATGCATCTTGATACATAGTACATGTATGCCAAATTTCATCAGAATATCTGAAGTGGTATTACAGATATTAATAAAAAACTATTAATTTTTGAGAACTTTACCACCCTGTATCTCAAAAGTTAGGATGTTTAGGTCATACGTTCATATGAAACTTTCTTCTTAGAATGGGCCCAAAAATCGCCTCCCCAAATATTGACATTCAATTATGAAACACCCTGTATATTTGGTATTCATTTGGTATATATTTGGTTCTATTGCCAGTTTTTGATGAACAATTCGTTCTCATCAGCCTATGTCCCAATAGTAATGACTGTATATTGAAATATATTTCCACATGTTACCTAAAAATGTATCGATGAAATTCGAAATCAAATATAAAAAATTATATATTAGCCTTCATTGGTGAAAACAAAGACAACAATGGCTCGCTACACCCTGTAGATGCATTTTTCAACACATTTTTTCCTATATAAAGTCAGTGAAGCATCGAATCTAAAAGAAGAAGAATTAGAATTGAAAATTCTAGAATGGAGTTGGTGTACCAATGGGGCTACGGTGACTATTTCATCATGAAAATTCAGAGAAAAAAATTAATATGATTCATTATATTCAAATGAAATGAATGAAAATGCATGCATAATTCGACAAAATATCGTGAAAGTATTTCCAGCTCATTCTAAACATTTCGACACTCATCGATTCACAGATAGATATATTTTCCTATGAATGAGATTCCTAGAGTATGAGCAAATTTTTCGAAATGTAGATGCAAATTACCAAAATTTGATAGGGAAGAAAGACAATCTCGTAGTCGATTCTATTCAAATCTTTTTGGGATAACAAAATAATTGAAGAGTTATGTACAAGGTGATTGTTTATATTTTAGTCAATAGCTATATATCAGTTGATATTGGTCTCACAAAAAAGTTGAGATGATCAAACATGAACTATTTTTTTTAAGCATTCAGTATATTATGTTACTAGAAAATGCAAAAAGTATGGTGAACCTGAAAATTTCACACAAGTAAACTTGTAATCTTCGAACGGTACATTCTGTAAGTATTTTATCTGATGCCTTAACGATAGAGCTATAGCTCTTCCCTTTAATTTCAAATATATATAGTTCATTGGGGCTATTTTATTCTGGTTTCAAATGATATAGAATTGCAGCATTGTCACCTGCCGTTCCATACCTACCTCAGATATACCGGGTGATTTTCTAAGGTGGCTCAAAAGGAGAACAATTACTTTCCTGGCTTAGTCTAATCAAACGGTATTTCAGGGTGGAAAGTTCTGGTGTAATTGTTTTCATTGGCTTATTCTTTATTTCTTGGTGTGCTCAACACGAATCTGAAGTTGTCCACCAAAAATTTCATCGGCAAATATCAGAAAATACCAAAAGAGCACACAAAATTATGTTTTTTAATGGTTTTCAGCTTTCAACTCGCAAAGGAAGCCGTTCACACAAAAAATTGACGAGTAGTAAAATTAAGAGGGAAAAATCATCTACAATTCATGTCGAATGATACTTTTTGGTATGTCATTTGGTTTCCATGCAAAAGAGTGTTGAAGTTTTATTGGAATCAATGATTTTTGCAAAAAAATTAAAAATTCAACTAATTCATAGTTATTATTTCAAATAGATGAACATATCACTGTCTAATGAAATTCTCCTCCTAGACACAGACTCCGTGGCTTCTCCAGGGCAGCTTTCAAGTTCTTCTACGCCTGTTACAAATAATTATTGACTTGATTCGAAAATTTCAACAATACATCGATTAGATATAAAAGCAATACCTATTGAGGATTTCTTCGACATTTTTATACGTACTCGACTTATTTATCGTTATTGATTATTGGTCGATAACACAAATGAATTGTGAGAGGAAAAGTAATGGTGCGAAAGAATTATTCATGTAGTTACCTTCCAGAGGATCAGAAACATCTTCTGCTTCTTCTTCAATGTCTGTAACGGCCATGTTATTGCAGCTATTTTCACAATTCAGACACATACTGGAACAAATAAGGCCTGCTTTTTGGGACCCACAGTTGGTCTGACAGGTTTTCATGCACTCATAGGATATCAAATTCAAAACTGCTTCTGGTGCTGATGACTGTAGCGTTGGTACTGGCTTGGTTTTTTTTCAACCCCATTACTCGGGATCTTTTGTGGTTCCAAGCCACTGTTCCACTTGAAATTATACCCTCAAAGAATGCTGTTATGCTGCAGCTTCCGTATATGGGCACCGAACATAAACTGAGACGTTTATGTTCGGTGGTATGGGGTAAGGATGTCAAATGGGCTGTTGTTCTATTTGCAGACCTAAGGTATAGCATTTAAACTCCAATTTGTTCATGGACGTATCTTCCTTCTCGTTAATTTCATACACTGCAGTAAAAAAGGTGATGCCAGCATCGATAACAGTATCAGCATTTGCCGTAGGATCTTTGAAACTTTGAACAATTAGGATTGAAGCAGGATTTTTCGATGGTTGGAGTAAATTCAATTTTTCCAACTTTGGACGAGGCCGAGGTTGTGTCACATCCTCCCATGGCATATAAGAACTGTATTCTGCACTTATAGACATGCTCTAGTGCACAGTCAGTTGAAAATGAGTTCCGAAACTGCTCCTCTTCTTGGCTTTGAAAAGTATACATTCGAATGTACACCCCGACAACGACCAATCATGATCACCAACAAATCTACATCTTCACCCACAATAACTACAGAATTATGCTGTGGTGCGAGATCCATTGCTGTGATGACAATAAGTGTATCTGCGTCCTCTTATGCCTAATTTGTGTGAATCCAGGCTGCCGAAAATTTGTTCTTCAATATTGAAATGAGACGGATTTTGTTCTTCATATATTACCAAGGAATTTTTCTTGTGGCACTGTCGCGATCATTGTTTCGTCAAACATGATATCAACTGATATCTGTTTGGGTGATCTTCTTGTTCGCTCAGCATGTTCAGTACCATCTTGAAGGTAACCATCGAATACGACTGCAGCACTGTCTAGTTACTTGGACTCAACAAATGCAACATAACTTCCACAAATTGATGAACATGATTGACCCCTGGTCCACACCACCTCGCGGAGTAAATATCCTCCATCTAAGACGTACACACACCCTTGGATATTTGTCTGTTCAATTGGTGCAAATGCTTTGTATAAGGCAGACTTGGTTCCTTTCCTCATTCCATAGTCATCAAAAAGAGGCAACGGATACGGGCACAGTTCATATTTTGAGAACTTCTTCGAGTTCTTCGTCAGATTGTTTGGCAATTGTGATTCTTTGAAAAATAGTCGAAGGATTAATCGGGATGGTTTCATTACTTATTTTGAATTCCATTGGGAATGCACCAGTTCCTTCGCGAGTTGGAAGCTGAATCCATTTGAAACATGATTTTTTGTGCTTTTTTGTATTTTATGATCACCAGCACCAGAAGCAGTTTTGAATTTAATACCCCACAAGTGCATCAAAACCTGTCAGACCAACTGTGGGTCCCGAAAAGCAGGCTTTATTTGTTCCAGTGTATTTCTGAATTGTGAAAATAGCTGCAATAACATGGCCGTTACAGACATTGAAGAAGAAGCAGAGGATGAATCGGAGTTTTCTGATCCTCTGGAAGGTAACTACATGAATAATTCTTTCGCACCTTTATTTTTCCTCTCACAATTCATTTGTGTTATCGACCAATAATCAATGACAATAAATAAGTCGAGTACGTTTAAAAATGTCGAAGAAATCCTCAATAGGTATTGCTTTTATATCTAATAGATATATTGTTGAGATTATTGAATTGAGTCAATGATTATTTGTAACAGGCGTAAAAGAACTTGAAAGCTGCCCTGGAGAAGCCACGGAGTCTGTGTCTAGGAGGAGAATTTCATTAGACAGTGATATGTTTATCTATTTGGAATAAAAACTATGAATTAGTTGAATTTTTTATTTTTTCCCAAAAACACTGATTCCACTAAAACTTCAACACTCTTTTGTATGGAAACCAAATGACATACCAAAAAGTTTCATGAGACATGAATTGTAGATAATTTTTCCCTCTTGATTTTACTACTCGTTAATTTTGTGTGTGAACGGCTTCCTTTGCGAGTTGAAAGCTGAAAACCATTAAAAAACATAATTTTGTGTGCTCTTTTGTTATTTTCTGATATTTGCCGATGAAATTATTGGTGGACAACTCAAGATTCGTGTTGAGCACATCAAAGAGCATACTATAAACCACTGAAATTAATTACACCAGAACTTTCCACATCATGCTGTTTTTGTGCACCATTTGATTGAACTAGCTGTATACCACGACGAACATTGAATTATACATATAAATTGGACACACACGATAAGAATTTGAACACGAAATCTTCTGAAGTTGAGAATTTGCATTCTCCTTCAGGTAAAAGAATGTATATGCACATTACATTATTCTGAATATTCAACAATAAAACAACTACTTTCCTGGAAATATTTTCATCTGAAGGAGAATGCAAATTATCTTTCTTCCAAGCGCATTGAAAATAGTGTTCGTCGGCAAGTTTTCATCAGATCTCTATATTGAATTCGACGGATAGGAGAGAACATATCAATAATAATCATTTCATTATACCTTCGCCTATCATGGGAATAATGCTCTGCTCTTGAGATTCAACCGCTATCATACAGGGTGCTTTCGAATTTGCGACAATAAATGAAATCGATGATGAAAGACGAAATAACTAAACTACTTGTTAGAATACATTCTTGGACAAAGAAAATTTGAATGATATTGAGCTCGAAAGTTTGCCTCAATTTGTGATTTGTAATTTGTAATCCATTTGATCAGAGGTTGAAGGCCCAACCCAAGCGTTTGGTTTCGGCGAGATAACAAGCACAAGAAGAATCAATGACATGTTGCCTGATGTTCAATATTAGCTGAAATATGTAGTTTGACAGGAGCGCACTGTTTGAAAAAAATTCAAAACTTATCATTGGTGATTCATTGTATCATAATTATCACATAGAACACCTCATTGTATTCATTGCTCCATTTTCGAAAACAACATATTGTTTCATTGATTATAAATAGAATAGTCGAATCCGACCTGGATATCAACTATATAATAATAAATACTGTACTATTGATAGATTCATGAATTTTTTTGCATTATTAAAGAGCCATTCAATCTAGGGATTTCAATAATGATTATAACCGGTTTCCAATCATAGACAAACTGAAATATTTCGATTCACTCATCAACAAATATCGAATGATATTGCTAGAAAGACATTATTGTTGATTGCATTCCATTTATGTATCATTCAAAAATGCCAACAACATCGAAGATATTGTATAAACTTCACAAACGATAAGATTTTCACAAAATTCTCAAACACACGACATGTTCCGTTAACACAGTAGCTTCCGTCAGGTGATATACTGGTACAATGAACTAAACTAACGTTGGCTTGCTTAACTAACTTTTATATATCTGACTTTTCCAACCCGAAGGATTAGTTAACTGTGGACAGGTACGATAAACCTCCATTTTCGGAAATTAGGCACAATATCTACATTAAGTTACGGTATACCGGATTAACTTGAAAGATTTGATATCAAATACATATTATTACTCACTAAACTGAATAAACTTCATCTTATGTTCATGAATGCGCTGATTGAACGTACGACCTGTCTGTCCGATTTATACCTTAGGACAAGATCCACATTTGAGTTTGTATACCCCTGTTTTTTTGAATTTAGAAGTTTTGTCTTTATTATTCTTGATAAACCGTCCCAACGTGTTATTTTTTCTATATCTTTTGAGTCATGTTTATGTAGAAATGAAGCTAATTTCTCAGTTGATGACCCGAAATAGGTTAAAGTTCTATAATTTTGATTATTATTCTTGATGGTAGGATAAACTTCTTGAATAGCTTTATGATGAAGTTTTTCAGAAATGATACTGTCTATCAAATCAACGTTGAATCTGTTGTTGACTGCAATCTGTTTTATGATATTGAGTTCTTTATTGAAATTTACTTCCGGAAGAGGAACATTCACTAGCCTGTGTATCATACTATTATACGCTGCAATTTTTATGTTGATAAGGGTGTGTTGAATTATTATGAATAGTGATATCAGTGTGGGATGGTTTATGGAAAATTGAAAACTCATGTTTATCGTTAATTTTACTTATTGTCAAATCTAAGGAATTGATCGATTTTCAGTCTCTACTTTCTCTTGTGAATTCAATGTTTGAATGAATAGTATTTATATATTGATGGAAAGTGTCTAATTGTCTATTGATTCCTTCAAAGCATACTATAACGTCATCTACGTATCTATACCAATACAAACATTGTTTCATTAATGAATGTTTATGTATTATTCGCTCAAAGTTTTCAATGAAAATTTCAGCAAGTAAAGGGCTCAGTGGATTTCCCATAATCAACCCTTTTGTATAGATATAGCGGTTCATGCATTCATTTTTTTTATGATATGGGTTCATGCATCATTAAGATGAGTAGAAGTTGATATAATAATCACCTTCCGAAAGTTTCTCCGAGAATCTCCACGGAAAAAAGGGTTTGTTGCATCAACAAATTATTTATGCTTGGATTATTTTTGCTGGACTCAGCTATTTTTTGTTGAATCAAACGAATGCATGATCATTTCATAGAAGCAGCTTGTTCAAATCAAGACTGTAGTTTGATTGATTCAACACTATCATATCAATTCCATCAACTAAACATATGGTTATCTCAGGAACAGATTATGTCGGTTCAAAATAATGTCGATGTCGATTCAACTATGAACATTTTGTTTATTTGATGAAATAATGATCATTCTCATTCTTGGTCAAAATAGATCTTTGGAACAACATAAAAGTTTTCTCATTACGATGTAGCAATGGACTCGTTTCGAACGGATCATTTGCTTGAATAGAGCAACGAAATATGTGTAATCAATGAGATATTCCGTTCATTCAACATCAACTTAAATATTTGCCACTAGATGGTGATTTTTTCGCCTCTTTTATGCCTGACTCGAATTCATTATACAGGGTGTCTGTAAAAAGTCTTTACAAAAATATACCACATATTCCTCAGACCAAAATAAGTCGATTTAGGTAAAATTACCTTTTTACAAAGTTGCATCGTTTGGGCTCCAGAGGTCCTGGAAGTAACAATAATTTTAAAATCGTTGTTCCCATATAAATTCAAAACAGCATATGCGATTCTGCTGAGATTTGGAATATTGATAGAGTTTTGTGTGTCAAAGAAATGGTGTTAAATTTTTGTCCGATGTTAATCCATAGGCGTAGAACTTGATTTTTTTTAATAATTGCACCTTCAACAATTCTACGCCAATGAAAAAAAAAAGGAGTTTGAGTATGATGAGACTCGATCACTCTCATGGTTTTCGCTAAATTTCTGTTTTGATAATTTCAAGTGTATAGGTTTCACAAAAATATTCATTTACAACATAATCGAAATAAATAGAGATTTCACAAAAATTGTTCAGAATGTTCATAATTTTTAAGCATACAAAGATTTATTCGTCGAAGAAAATTAATAATTATACATAGGCGTGGCACCGTGCGTGGCACTTGATTTTTTAAATAATTGCACCTTTAAAAATTCTACGCCAATGGCAGAAAAGGGGTTTGAATGAAATTTGGATTGGATACTCATTTACTACAAAAAACTACGCTTGATGACACTCGATTAACTCCCATGGTTTCGACAAAGTTTGTATTTCAATAATTATTGTTTATGTTCTAAAATTACTAAAATGCAAATTTCGTCACATGAGAGCAATCGAGCCTTATCAAGAGAACCTTTTTTAAAGTCAATGAGTTGCGCAATCTGAATTTCATACTCAAACTCCTTTTCTTTCATTGGCGGAGAATTTTTAAAGGTGCAATTTAAAAAAAATCAAGTTCTACGACTATGTATTATCATTGGACAAAATTTTAATACCATTTATTTTGCCACATAAAACTCTATCAATACACCTAATTTCAGCAAAATCGCATATGCCGTTCCAAATTTATATGGGAAAAACGATTTGAAAATTGTAACTTCAAGGCCCTCTGGAGCCCAAACGATGCAACTTTGTACTGATGTAATTTTACCTTAATCGACTTATTTTGGTGTGAGGAATATGTGGTATGTTTTTGTAAAGAGCTTTTACAGACCC